CACCTCAATTACAAGCATTGATCCCCATTCCCGTAATTTATTAATTTGTAAGAAAAAATATTAGTAGCTGATATAACGCAGCTTTCACTTGGTAGATACCTAAATTAATTTTGTTACATGCATATAAAATGAAATTAAAATTGACTGCTAAAAGATAGTTATAAGTACCATAAAATTTTACGCTAATAATAAATAAATTTTATTCCATTATTTTCTTTTAATTTTTTTTATTTTGTATTTTATGACAACTACTTGTATGCGACTCAATTAGCGTACACATAAGCTATAACTATCAATTTAGGAATTGATGCATATAATTATAAGCCGAATTAAGAAAAAAGCGCGCGCACACATACCCGCAGATTAAAACCAGGTAGAATTATAAGAACTAATAAAATAGTTTTTCCAAGGAACAAAAAACCGGACCGGCACTAAACCGGTGTAGATAGTCATTCAAGAGTCAGTGGGTCAAATCGGGGTCAACCCCGGATTAAACCGATCATATTAAAATAATATAATTTGATCAAAAATAACAAAATATAACAATACTAATAATCACTAATAACAAAATATAAAGAAATACAATAATAGTTTGATTGTAACAATAATAAATTATAACAATATTGAGAATTTTGATCTTTATTATTCCTAAATAACTAAAATTAATAGTTATTGATGCCAAAATTATCATTAAAATCTATTTAAATCTATAATAATTAAGATATTAGAAGCTGAATGAGAAAAAAATATGACAAATAGCAATATAATTATTTAGACCGGTTCACACCGTTTTTACTGGTTTTCACCGGGTCACACCGGTTTGATCGGTTCAATCCAATTCGAACCGGTCCCCGGTTTAATCTATGAACAGACCGGACCACTGATTGGTTCACTAGTTTTCCAGTTGAACTGACCGGTTTGGTCTAGTTTTTTTTATTCTAAGTTTTTCCTTATTAAAAAATATACCACAACTACAAACGTATAAAACAGAATAGAAGAGACTAATAAATACTAATTAACTTTCGCAACAAGAAGTTACATAAACAATACAATGACTAATGATTGATATAATATAATAATTATGATTTGTCAACAATCAACATATCAACGTATAATATAAAATTTAATAAAAAAAAGTTGTTCAAAATTTGTGTAATGTTGTAAACTCATTTTAAGTTTTAATTTAGATAGATCCGATCAAGACTTATAGCAGCAACCACACCAGCCACCGTGGCCCTTGCGGACTAAGTGAGGGCACTTTCTGTAAACACAAACTTGGGCACATTGGCCATCATCCACACAATTGTTCAAGTCATATAACCCTTGTGCTTCTACTTTTGGGGCCACCCTATATATTCATACAATCAACAATACACACTTTGATCAATTTTAAGTCTCCATTCCATTCACACACACACGTGTGTGTGTGTGTGAACTAATGATGTCCATAAGTGTTTGGGTAGAAAATAGGAAAAAGTGGGGGAGGGAATAGATGACAATTATGTGGAAAGATAATTGAATTTAGAAACTTTGAGAAGGGAAATAAAAGAGACCAGAAAAAAAAAGATATGATTATGTTTTATCTATCTCTTATTTTTATTTCTTTTAGAATATTTATGACCCGTGGCTAATATAAATTTAGATGTCTAATTTATAAATAGTGAAAAATGAGTTAAGTTAGTTATTTGTAATAAAAGTATATTGATTTTTCCAAACTTAAACTGCCCTCTTTTTTTATACTTCTTAAACTATTCTGTTTAATCAGATATATATATATATAAAATCACTTTTTGGCAAAAAAGTTTCGTCTCCCGTTTTTTTTATGATTAAACTTGCATTTACCACTTTGGACAACAAAAAACTTGCATTTACCACTTTGTTGTGTGGATTTTGAGACGTTCAAAAATGTGTCGGCCAGCTTGCCTCCCCCCCCCCAAAAAAAAAAAGATTACTTCACCTATATCCACTTGTCACGACTTTAATAAATCTGCAGTGAGATCTTTATAAGTATATTTATAATTATTGAAGCTTGTGTTTTGTCCACTTTTGAAGGGTTCTCTGTGCTCTGTGCTTACAATTTAGATTTTAGATGTATAAAATTAATGAAAATGACTATAGAAAAGCTAGTACTACTAACACAGCGAGAGGCGTTGTTCTTTGAAAAAAAAATCAGGGAATGATAAGGAAACAATTTTTTTTGGATAAAAAAAAAACAAGGGGCTTCCTTCCCCTTAAAAAACGGGGTTGAGAAAAGAAGAATTGAGAGTATACATATTTTAATGCTACGATTGATAATATTTATCGTTAAATGGAATAAATAAAATCACCAATTTATAAGATAAAAATAAAATAAATAAAGAAAATGAATCCATTTGTAAGCAAATCCATACAGGATAAAAATTTAACTTCATTTCAAGAATAATATTGAACCATCTAAGTCTAACAATTAATTATGAATTTGTTGACAGTAAAAAAATTGTTAAAAACTTTGACGGGATATAAAATGACATTCACTGCGTTTTGCGGTTGCACTACAAAATCAGTCTTTCATTGAATATTGAACGTAGTGGAAAAACAAGTTATTTATTCGTTCTTACGGGTACTAACTTCACTACGTACCCATTCAACCCATCTGTCTACAAAATCCAACTTCTTCAAGTTAGCTTCAACTTCGTGAAATTAAATTATACAAAACGCTCTGTAAGCATTATCTGAACTTCAAGACATCTCCTAAATTTGATAAGTTCCTCAGACCCAACTCAAATTTTTTTATCAGAAAAAATGGTACAAAACACGTCAGAGTTAATTCCTAGCATATCAAATATAAAATAAGGCAATCATATTATAGAGTGGATTTAATTTAAATCAACTAATTCGGTTTTAGATTTATATATGAGAATTTGAAAATGCTGATATGATGTGGCCATATCACCTTGCCAAATCACTAGGCTGATATGGAAGTACACTACGGCGACACGTCTTGCCAAAGAAGGCACAAGAGCATAACAAAACCATCTTTCGTGGTCAGCATCTATTTTAGTTCTAAATATAAAATTTTAGTTCATTTTGTCTTTTATATATATTTTTTTTAAGGTGGTCCTTGTAGTAGTTATACATAACTAATACACATTATTAGCAAGAATATTTTAAAAAAACAATATATTTATTACAAATAATTAATTTAACAAACTTTCTTAATATACTCAAATTAGTCAACTAACTTTTATACTACCTCCGGTCCTAATTATAAGAGCCAGTTGACTAATTTGAGGAGATTAAGGAAGTAAGAAGTAAGTGAGTTAGTATTTGTCCTAAATAGATATTGTCTTTCCCAAATATCCTTACTAATTAAGTGTATTGACTATAACTATCATTGTTAGAAGGGCTATTTTAGGAAAAAATGTATAAATACGAGAGACAAAGTAGATTGGGGTCTTATATTTAGGACTAAAATAAAAGTCAAACAAGGTCTTATATTAAGGACTGGAGGTAGTATTAAAAATCGAGGTAGTATAATCAAGAAACACAACATTCTAAAGAAAATTCTATAAAAATACTTATTAATTATAACATATTTAATATATGTCTTATTTACTAATTTACCTTTTTTTGACGTGATATTTACTAATTTACCTCTCTCACTTTAATAATGTCTTAATTTAACTAGACATCACGATGGCTACGCAAATTCTAGAGATGGACGAAAGTCCTCCTTTGGTTGTTTGGAACTTTGGATGGTTTGGGAAATTACTCTAGATCATAGAAGACAAGACAAGGCAATGAATACGAGTGATGATGCAGATGAATTTGCGAGTGTGGAGAGACTTTTCAAAATTAAACTTTATGTCCGCCAGTCATCTAATTACCATTCTGGTTTCTATCCTTTGCCTATCTCTAGTAATTATTCTTTTCTTGTTTGTAGTTTGAAAAACAATAGGACGCACAGGCGAGGATAGAGAGTTTATATGATCAAATTACCATGAAATCTCAAAAAAAAAAAAATTAAGAAATCCTAATGATAAGTAATCAGCATGAATGTATTGCCATTCTCTACCATGAATTTATCATTGCATGCTCTTAAGTTATTAATAGAATTTAGGATAATTAATTTTTTTTCTTGAAACCTGATTATAATTCTTTCAGTTTTTATTCCAGTAATGTTGTTTTATCCTAGGCCATTGCAGTAATTAACGGGGAAAGCGTTCAGCAACTTCATTGCAATTTGTAAAATATCCATGATGATAATATAAAAGCTACAGTACTTATATAAGAACTAAGTAACTAATTAACATATATTAAGAAAATTAGTCAAGTTTGTTATTCATAATAAATTAATGTCATTTTTCTTAAAATACCCCTGTTATTTGTTAATGTTCAACCTTTTTTGGCATAAAAAATCATATAAAGTTCTTCCCAACAGGAAACAAAAATGCCAATGCTTTTGGTAAAAGTGTAGAAAATCTAGAAGAAGGAACAAATGCCCCTCTTCACTTGTATATAGAAATTAACATAATATAAACTTTAAAAGACACAAAATTAAGATTTGAAGGATATTTATTTTGTCACCATTAGTAATTAAAAAGCATGTGATCTGGTGTGCATGTGTGCATGTATTGGCCAAATGTGATTTCACAGTGACAGAAACAAATAAAAGCAAAATCTAATATAATGGCATGTAAATTGAGCAAACAAAGTAAGGGTTGTCTGTGCTCGCGTGTGTGTATAATTTCTTTCAGATTTAACAACTTTTTCCTCTATAAGGATAGTTTTTGTATTTTTCACATATTATGACCGACATAAGTGTTATCTGTCTTGACAATTAAAAAAAAAAATTCTAAGAATGATTTGATATCAAATATCATTGACTAATCCAAATTTTGAGTATAATATTTTCACATACCTTGTATGCATTATAAGTTAAGCTAATAACTATCATATCAAATTTCATTTCGGACTAAATGAAGAAAGTTTAAAGCCGTATTCAAACATAATACAATTACTTGCACAATTGTTCCAAATAACACTTTCTGAAAGCAGACGGTGCGTTGCAGTCTCCATTGCTCCCATTAATTGGCATCTTCTTCAACTTGTCCTCTTTTTTCTGGGACAAATCCTACATACGCACAAACACACACAATAAAAATTGTGTTAAAATATAAATATTTTTCAACTTTTGGCCTTAATTTAGTTTTGATTAATTTGATGACAATTCAACTTTAAGTCAATACTAGATGAATGGTGATGATGAATAATACTATATAAACATCAAATAAAATTGTGTATGAACTCAAATTAACTATATGGACGGATGGGTCCTGATGAATATAAAAATTTCAAATTTGAAAAAATTGGGGAAAAGTCCCACACATTACAAAACTTATTGGCAATAAGGATTTCATAATTTTTATACACAAAGTTTATTTGTGATTCATAACTGATAGTTCTAAAGCATTACAGATTTATATATATATGTAACTCAAGCTCCGCATCTGATCTATTGTGAATAAGCGGGAGCAAAGTATAGAGGAAGTACCTTTTAGAGAGTCAGCAAATGGTCATATGAAGGATGTGAGCAATTTTAGTCCAATCGGGTCCTTCCTCCTCTTCACAACTCTCCTTAAGCAAACAACATTCACCATTAATAGTTACGCGAGAAAGGGATGGAGGTAAAGCATCTTCTCCTGGCATGCCTTCATAACTCATGCGAGGCAATAGTAAAATGATAAGGAAGTGAGAGAACGGAGGTGCACAAGACCCCTATGGTTTATTCTTCTCAAATTGGTACAATGCAAGAATGAAAGAGATTGGAGATTGGGCGGCAACAATCCCTCTTCTTCAGGGAACCACTCCATGACGTCATCAGTAATATCAAGTTGTTTCAAAGACAACAACTCATGCAAACCCCCATCCCCACCACACGCAATGAGCTTGGAACACCAACTGATTGAAAGACGTTGTAGGTTGAAAGCATACCTCCATGGGGAAGAGATTCCATTGCTGGACAATGCCATAAAGACAAGTCATGGAGAGGTGGAAGTACGTCTGAGATGCTCCATGTGGGCATGTCTTTGCTGATATCTTCTACAATCTTGTAAATGTAGCTTCTCCATGGAAGAGGACTTGGGAAGCGTGGCCTCCAAATTCCCACATTCCAAAATGTCTAGTGTTTTTAGACAAGGAAGGTGTTGAGGCAAAGACTTTGTCAGTCTAGGACATCCGTGTATACAAAGCTGTTTAAGGCGTGGAAAAACTTTCACCCTCATAACATGTATCCCATTCTTCCCATTCTCTCATACCAAAAAAGTTCAAATATAAGAGGGAAGGAAATGGTTGAGCAATTAAGGAGCCATTCCCATAGAACTCTTCACCTATCACCTTTACTCCATCAATTCTTCCAATCAAGAGTTGCTGGAGGGAAGTTAGTTGGCCAAGTGGTGGTAAGCTCACACAATAGAAGCAACTCTGTAAAGATAAAGACACTAAATTGGGTAGAAAATGTGCAACACCAGAAGCCACTTTGGAAATTTGTTACCTTTGTATACATAAACAGCGAGCTCTTTCACACTCTGATTTGGTTCAATAGCTTCCAATATGTGCTCCTGGCGTTGTGCCTCTTCAAGACTATAGCTATTTTGCCGATACCACAACATCAATTTTATTCAATTTCTTTTCTTTCAAATTGGCCTCCCTCATATCTGCAGGATCACTTATGTCCTCCATATTCGAGATGGCTAGTGAGCCCTGTTTAAGTGGTTCAAGGCTCCTAATTCTTTTATATTTGATCCTCCTTTCTTGCCACAACAAAGTTATTCATTGTTGGAGCTGATTTAACTTTCCCATATATTTGGGCATCTTCCTTATGGCACAATCTTCCAAGTCAAGATGACGCAAGTTAATGAGTTTATAGAAATTTGATGGCAACTTAGTCAAACGATCACAACCTCTTAATTTCAATGTTTGTATATTAATCAACGAGCACAATGAATTTGGCAATTTCTTAACTGAAGTCCCAGAAAGATCCAAATAATGCAAGTGCTTTAAATTGCCGATACCATCTATCAAGTTTCTGAAATTTCGAGATCCCTTCAAAGATAATTGTCGTATGTACTGAGACGACAAAGCTTGGACATTATATCATCACCAATGCTATGATTGAAGACATCCAATAGGAAGAAACTGCGTAATTGGTGGCATTTGAAAACTTTGTCAAAAATCTCAAGTATCATCACTTTTGCATCTTGTATATGAAAAGTAGCGAGTCTTCGTTGACATATCTCGTGCTTGAGCAGCCTCAAGA